TTCGGCTCCAGTGCTGTTTAGTTGATCAGACTCTGTTCTGCTTGGCATGACTTGGCCGTGGATGGAGGATGCAAGGCTGTCCCATCTCGTCCCGTCGCGTCCAATCTCCAAGCCCCAGCCTGCACTTGAGCCCCACTGAGGCCCGATCCGAGTCCCGCTTTTCTGCCAGTTCTCCGCGGTTTCAGCCTCATACGGCCGTCCCTCTTGCCTCTGGTGCTGTGTCGACTCGAGCACCGTCCGTGAGGGCCTCGCAGTGACGGGACTCGAACCACACAGCTTCATGCTCGGTACCTATGGCAGAAATTCTGTCTGTGTGTGTGTGTGTGTGTGTGTAAGGAGGTGGGTGTATGTCAGAAGTGCGTCGTTTAGTGGGGCTCGTCTCGAGCCCCCTCTGGAGGCCCCAGCTGACAGGATTTGGCATCGGTCGGCGGTCAAGTGTGTCGCCGAGTCGGTGGGTATCGGCGCCCTGTGATTGCTTGTTGCATGCGCGCAAACGGTGCCCAGACACGCCGACTTGGGTCACCGAGTGGGTCGTCTGCTCCTCCGGCTCGACATGACCTCAAACGCAAACAGTAGAGGCTGACGAGGATAAATTCCGGTAGCCTGTCGCGGTGCCAACGTCCTCCTTTTATTACCTTTATCGCAATCCGACGCATTTCTGCCTGTCGCCGGGACACTCAAACGCTTCACTCGCTTAAAAACCCCTCTGTGCACACACACACACACATGCAGTCACACACACAGGCACAAGCGAGGCCGGTAGAAGTGTTGTCGACGAGAGCGTGTGTGAATGTGCTTGTTTGTCCAGACGAAAACGAGAGGAGGATAAGCAACGTGGTTCTGTCGGTCAACCGAATGGGCGGGTGGAGTGGCTGCTCAAACAGTCTTCAATTATGACGACAAACCGCTGCAAGCCTGTCCTCGGTCGGGCCGAGACTGAGCTCGAGTCCGGTCCGGTCCGGTCCGGTCGGGTCAGGACGGCCGGAGTGGCTGTTGACGCCGACAGGCCATGATCGGTTCCACGATGAGCTGATGAAAGTGGGTCATAATTGTTGGGCTTACTTCCATTTCGAGTGGAAGTGTTGCGTGAAGAGATTCAAAGGTCGGTTCCACCAAAAGACGACGGCGAGTTCCTCTTGTCTAACAATTTAAAGGCAAATTGGACGATTTTTTCGTCTTCGAAAGACAACCTCTCTTCATGAC